GTTGTGAGGTGCCATCAAGTTGATTTCCACTCAGAGCTACCTCATGTGACAGAGTAGAACTGCCCCCATAGGGTTTCTTTACAGCTAAGCTAGAAGCAGATTGCCAGGTCTTTCTCCCATGGAGCCAATGCGGGGGTTCAAACTGCCAACCTTTCAGTTAGCAGCCACCAGGGCTCCTCAGGAAGCGCCAGCTTTGATGATTACTAGAGTTGGCAAAATCCAGAAAATTACATTAGTGTCCAAAAGGTTCAGGCCCAGCGGCCTCAGTGGATCCTTTCAGAGGGTGGCGGAAGCAGACACTGTTGGCTGCCTTCCCCAAATCCATTCACCTCTCCCTCCGTCACCATTCTAACAAAGGCCTCCATTTTCCATTTTGTTTAGATATCCTCACTCCTCTGGGGGCCCTGTGCTTCAGGAGAGGGAGGCCCAGCACCATCCGAGGGGCAGTCAGCATTGGACCCTGCCACTTGCGGTGGGCCACTTCCATTGCTGGTGACTGGTTTGAGTGCAGAACATAGTTTTAGGCTGTGAGACGTGGGGAGAAGCTTCTCAGTGTTTACGATGAGTCACAGTGGAAGAAATGGCACGTGTGAAAAAGTCTGACATCACAGCATCCACCTGTTACGCATGGAAAGATGGCAACCTCCTGGACACCAGGAGGAGAAATGGGCTGAAATTCAGGGAGGGATGGCACAAACCTGAGGAGCTGACATCACTGAGCCAAGCCCAGACCCACACTCCCTCCTGACTTCTCAGGAGAGATAAAAAGTCCCTTATTGTTCAAGCTAGCTAGGCCCTTGGGGTCTTCTGTTTCTCACGAGGGAGAGCATCCAGACACCTCCGCAGTGGAGGGGGTGCCACCTGGTGGCAGGTGAAGCCTACCATAGGCGGGGATTGGTCCATCAGTTGAAGGGAGGGGCTAGCCTTTATTGAGTATCTACTATGTGCCAGGGGCTTCTCTGATATTATTCTTGTTCATTCTAGTAACCACGCTGATAGGTAGGTTTTCTTGCCGCCACATTAGAGAAGAGGAAATTGCGAACAGTGAGAAACTTGCCCAAGGTCCCCCTGGGAAGTTAGAGTGTGGATGGCAGGTCAGGTGAGCCTGAGTCCAGCTAAATCGCACAGCCTCCTAGGAGAAAAAAGCACAGCCCAGCACCAGAGCAAAGAAGTTGAAGAGGCAAGAACTCAAGAGCCATAGTCAGCCGAGGAGAAGGCAAAGGCACGCAAGAGGGGCCAGATGCAAGCGCAGGTGCTATCTGTGATGGAAACGGAACACAGGGGCCAAAAGAGTGAGGTCAAGGGAGATGCACGCTGGATTCAAAGTGCCTGTTGTGTGGAGCCTGCATGCAGATTAAACCAGGCACCGGACCAGATGGAGCCTGAGGACAGCAGCCTGAGGACCACCTGGGCCCACAGGGCGTCCCCCTCCCACAAACGCAGAGCCCCATGGGAGCAGACAGCAGCCTCTTCCAGGCAGGTCTACGGAGTATGGAGTACGATCACCAAAAGGTGGAGAGGAGGGACCAGGGACCACCCAGTCAGAAAACAAGGCTCAGAGGCCCGAGATTGAACTGGATACTAAGCGTGACATGAGCAGAGCTGGAGGGTCTGCAGGCCCTGAAGACAGAGGGGTTGAGAAACCGGGCAAGGACCAAGTTCACAGCAGAAGGAACAACTGGGAAATGCTAGCGCTGTGGTTCAGTCCGTCTGGGGTTCCCACAGTGAATTATCTGTGGGTTGAGGAAGGGTAGGCCACTTGTGAATTTAGTGAAGACTGACTCTCAAAATTCAGAGTTGTTTGCATTCATTCTTGGTTCAAATAAGCTGTGAGGATTCATATTTAAAATAATTCGCTTTCTCTCATTCCCAGTGATCACCTAGCCAAGACAACACACGTGTGAGGAGAGCGTCACCTGAAGAATCCCAGGTGTTCTTCTCTGCCTCCGACGTGGCCGCGTGAGCCTTCGCAGTGCCCGGGTCTTCACTGGGGATCTGCCGCTGCCCACAGCCAACAGCTGAGGAGTGCATTTGTTTTGTTCTGCTTATTTTTAGGGGGTGGAGAGGGATGAGATTCATTTGTGCTCCTACCTATACTTCAAAGGAAACCAAATGACCAGGACTTGCCCAAGGCCACTGGCTAGTAAATGACATTGCCCCAAGACTGAACCCAGGTTTGACCGGGTCGAAAGGTCAGGCTCGTCCATCCCACCTGCCTGCCCGGGCAGGGGTCGAAGGTGGACTTCATGCTGTGGTTTATGCTGGCCAGCACACACGGCAGAGAAAATCTGGAGCTTCAACAGGATCTACTGTTAACTCAACCAGACATTCCTCAGCCTTCTACCTTCACCTCTTTGTTCTCACAAACTTGCATGAAAGCTGCATTGGTTTAAACTCACTCTTAATAGTGGGGAGGGTTTCTATGGAGGCGGAGGCTAGAATAAAAAGGATTTTAGTGAAAGGACACAGAGCAGTGGAGTTTCCTTTTAGATTCGTGCATTGTGGCCTGATTTTTGGTAATCGACAGTCCTGGCCTGTGCCTGTACACTCCACACTACGTCCACTATTGATCCAGAACAGTATTTACACTGACATGATGACTGGCATAAAGCACTGACTTTCCTAGAGGTATTTCATGATTAACACAGTTCATGAAGAGCCAAGTCGAACTACATTATATTAATCATATTACATATTTCTTACAGAATAACAAAGGGACCATAACAGAAGCAGCAATAATTATGCCAGGTTTTCTACTGATATAAAATACAGTGAAACTAGGTTTTTAGGAGCATGTAATGCTAAAAAAAAAAAAATCATAATAAGAGGAATTTTCTGGTGCTAATGGCGACAGCCAAGGAAATCTAGACAAACATTTTGTGGCTTTCTGGCTATTTTTGATTTTGAAATGTATGAAAATCTCAGAAGAGTTCAAAAAAGAAAAAATTTGTCACATTACAAATCAACACATTGAATCAAGTAAATTAAACTATGATTCTCAAACTGCTTGTGTAACTGACAGGCTTAAATGCATTTTAAAAAGGAGCCCATTGCCATCCCCTAAATGGCAAACAGCTGTCTCCTTCCTCCTTAGCACGTTGCAATGGCTAGGCGTAATCGGCAAATAGGAATGGAGCTATGTGCTCTTTTTCTAAACACACGCAGTAGTAGCCTTTGTGGCTAAATTAGTCAATACACTCACTCCTTACTTATGGACATGGGTAGGTTCCAAAGACCAGGTCATTATGCAAAAATCGACCTTATATGAAAATGGAGGATAACCATACCAGATCACAAAATGGAGGATGACTACATCATTACAGAACTGCCAAATTGCATCATTATGTAACTGCCAAATTACATATTACATAACTGCCAAATTACATCATTACATAACTGACAAATTGCATCATTATATAACTGCCAAACCACTGAGAACCATGGCCTAGCCAAGGTGACACATAACCTTTACCATCACAGCCAGTGTTACTCTCACCTCACACCCCTGCCTTTGTTACTGCCAGACGTTCATCATTAATGCACACAACAGTCACGTAGTGGATTTTTTACTAATGTCATAAATGTGCAATGTCAGATAATGTAATAGTTGCTAAATGAGGAGTGGGTGTACTTACATATCTATCACTGAGAGTTTTACGGTCATTCTTACCCTGCTGCTCTTGACTGGCATTCACTACTGAAAAGCAGTGGTTTTCTCTTGCTAAAGGAAAACCTTCTTCCATCTTAGACAAAAACAGAAAAGGCAGCACTATTGACAATGATCTCAAGTCAATACAAAAGGATTTCATATTCCAAGACTTCGGGTGGAGCCCTGGAAGTCTGGGTAGAGGCTCCCACACATGGCGGTTCTGAGAAGGTCAGTTGAGTCAGATGACAAGCCATGGCTCATTATGCATCATCTACGTCTGCTAACAATCACTTTTAGCTAAGATGGGAAAATGATTAAGATTACCTTGTCTCTGGAGGCCCCATGGACAGATCCAAACTCCCCGAGGGACTGAGTTGCTGGACGGAGGGCTCTGGGGACCATGGTCTCGGGGAACATCTAGCTCAATTG